TCTCTCGACACCCTGCGATTATTCTCCGTTTGTCTGGCAACTGAATCGACTCGCCATCGTTGCACCTGTTGTGAGAAGATAGACCAAATCAAAGGTCACGTTGCGAAACGACGAGCGCTTTCGCATATCGAACAGAGTAGCCCTCGGCGCTGATACGGGTGCTGGGTGTGGGAGCGCTGGTAGATGTCGCTTTCTGAGAAGACGAAAGGAGGGGACGACAGCAACGGAATAATTCTCCGCGAAGGAGGGAAAACGATCCCGATGACGGCTCTGGAGCCGATTGCCAGATACTCGAGCTGCTATCAGACCGGCCGCCTTCGATTCCACTCACACTGCCTCTGAGAAGTCGATAGGGGGTGGCCTTCCGGACTGATTGAGTGGGCATGACATCACCCCAAGCAAGACTACACCAGGAGCGAGTAGTTTGTGCGGATCAGAGAGGGACAGCCTCCAGCGGTGTGTCGAGTCCCTCTGATTCGCCAGCGAGCTTGCATCATACTTTTCAAACAACACTGTTTGCAGCACTCCTCGACTTTGTGCACCACCTCTTCGGAACAGGTATACTCTCGAGGATCGACTGTGGACAAGAATGATACATTGGTTACTGCCTCAGGCGCAGCATAGTCGTGGGACAGTGTCAGTTCCCTCTGCTGCAAATCACGAGCCTGAAGCCCGATGGTCTGCAGGCCGCATGATCCCAGCCATGAGACCGCTTCCTGTCTTGGGTATCTATCCCTTGCCCTGTCGCCATGAGATGGATATCCGTTGTATCTGTGTATGTATTCCCACCCAACCCCACCGCCAAAAAACAGTAACATTCGAAAGTGAGAGCGGTCTGCTCTGCTTGACTTTTCGAATGCTGAAACAACCCAGTATCCAATATGGAGCAATGCTCGGATCTGATTCGCGACAAAGGAAGGCAGACTCCTTCTCTCGAGTCGCATTTGTTCAGCGAGATACGCCATAGTCTTGTGCGCTGATAAACTGATCCCGCGACCTGTAGGAGCGAGGAGAGTGGATCATTGGCGAGACCGGAGGCCGTGGCAGGAGCTGGTCCGAGGAAGATTTGATGGCAAGTAAACTAGGAGAGCTGTGTGTGAGATAAGCGGGACAAGGGAGTTCGTCCGGCACGGCTCCTCGACCGATTCGGGGCAGCAGGGGTAATGGCGGCGGTGGTGGCGGCGGTTTGATCTTTCGAGCGTATGGCGGCAGCGGGGGCGCCGTTGGTGGTGGGCTCGGTGCCAGAGAGGCCGGGGATGATGGCACCAAGCCCGTCTGCTCGCCTTGGCTCGCTGTATCTGCGCATGGGTCTGCAGGAATGCGGGGCGGGGAGTTGGCAAAGGGAAGGAGGATATCCTCGTTTCGGTAGTGAGGATTCACTGGAGGAGGAGGAGGTGGTGGTGGCGACGGTACCGTCGGGCTCGGCACGAGCAGAGGCGAGCAACTTTGCACAGGGCGAACAGGTCGGGCTTCCATTGGTGATCGACCAGAGGCCACCTGTGTTGCTCGATGGCTCTGGTTCGCAGGGCTTTGTGGCGACGGCATGGAACAGGCTGCAGGGGGCTGTGTGAACCCGGTGCGGAAGGACAGCAGATGACCGACACCGGCCAACGGCGATGCGACCGACCCGAAGATAGGGCTGTCCGAGCGGTACGGAAGTGTCGCACTGTTTTCCACACGACCCTGGTTGTTGCTGGGTTGAGCGAACTGGGTATTGGGTTGTCCGCTTCCACTCGTTGTTGGAGTGTGGCCCGGGCACTCAGAGTTGTTGGGTCGCCCAGGACTTTCGCCATGCCGTGTGCCTGAAGTGGTGCACTCGAGTATCTGCTGTTTCATCTCGGTGTATACTTTTGCGAGCCGGCGAGAGTAGTCCCCCATCTCCCTCAAATATGCAAGTATGGCCTGGGGCAGCGCATTTCTTCGGAAGATGCGGTTGTCGTTGACAGTGCGCTGAAGCCGGTAGCGGGCACGGTCGAGGTCGTGAAGCTTCTTGGCCAGTGCGAGCTGTCGCTTGCTGGTGACGACTGGGGCCGTTGCTGGAGCATTTGTCGACGGGTGGATGCGGCGAGACGCCTTTGTTGCAGAGGCACCGACGACCGAAAGTGCCCGGAAATGATGAGTGACCGAGAGCTCTCGGGTGTGGACCTGAAGGAGCGTCATGGCGATCCGACCAAGGCAGGAGTGAATCCGAGACTTTGACTGGCAGAGCTGAGTGATGGGGTGGGGTGATGTTGGCGACTCCTCTATCCCGAACTGGTGCGCAAGCTGCTTTGAATGGCCGTGCCAGCTCAGCAAGATCCGAAGGTATAGTGGGAGGATGTCCGGATTTAGAGCTGGGCTCGCGGGTGGAAGCGCCAGGCCTGCGCTAGCAAGGGCAGTACTCGAAGTTGGTGAGGAACATGAAGGTCGCTTTGATGCTTGGAAGAGCTGCGTGGGATTCAGTGCGGGATCGGTGTGTGAAAGATTGAGGACACAGCAAGGGCGATGTTGTGAGCCAAGGTTCCCAGGCCGGTGTCGTGGGATATAGACGGCCATGCGATGCGGGAAGAATGCAGAGCAGTTGGCCATGCAAGCCCGGCCAAGCATATTCAGCAAACGAGACACACAACCCACCTCCCACTCCGAGCCCCACCACCCAAGCAGATGCTCGGTATGGCGGAATTCTGATTCGAGGCACTCATTCCACAGCTCCAGGAGTCGGCTCACGACGGGTGGGAGCTTGCTCAGGGCCTTGAATCGGGGCTGGCTTGGTCCCGACAACGAGACCTCGGCCGCTCCTTCGGACGATAGCAGCTCGAGTGAATTTTCGCCCAAGGTCGAGACGTAATCCGGCGGCAGCTGCGCGGAGGTGTAGTCCTCGAGCACTGCTGCGGTCTTGGAAAAGATATGGGCGAGCTTTTCCCACATCTCGGTGCGACTTTCGCAGAGCGTCGTCAGGAGCAGCAGCGCCGGTCCCTGTTTCTGATGGATGGATTTTTCGGCTTCGAGGCCGGCCAGCAGACATGCGTCATCCCATGCCTTCTTGAGGCCAGAGATTCTCGAGGTCGAGTGATCCAGCAATGGAATCAGGCTCTCGCGCTCGTCCTCGCCGTCATCGAGTTTTGTATTGGTCTCGGCCGGGACCACTTGCGAAGCATTGCGGCCGCTCAGGGCTTTCTTGTATGCCTTCTTTGCTCGGGCTTCGTTCCTGGCTCGTGTGCAAACTTCCAAAAATGCGAGGCGGAATACGGCCAGTTCGTCAAGGTAGATGTCAAAGACCTTGAGCATGGGAGCAGAGGCCGTCTGGACGTTGGTGGATAACAGGGACATGGACTTGAATGCGTCAATGAGCCCTTGATCACGTTCCTCCTGCCAGAAACGACGACGCAAGACACATCAATGGGCGAACAGGACACGCAGTGGCAGAGAGTTTGCGAAGGAACATGCAGGCCTTCCCGTCTCGCTCCGATACTGCGGCTGCCTACATAAGCCCATGTCAGCGCCGTCGAAACCAATTCCTCGAATGTCGCGGCAAGTTTTTCCCACGATGATCGCCAGCGACGGCCCTCCTTGATGCAGCGAGACGCGAATTGTCGATCGGGACGGCAGAGTCCGGATGTGAGGGTGAGTGAGCTGCCGTTCTGGGTCAACAGGAGGGACGAAGCCGGCGCTGGAGCAGCCCGAGCAACCGACGAAGCACATCCCATCGTTCGCGGCGGAGGGAGCAACAGGGAGGCAGTGGTTGACGCTGAGCAAAGAGGACAACACAGGGGAGGCGAGGTGGGCGAGGATGGCTGATGGACTAGAAGCCAAAGGAATACCATGCAGCGACTCGGGTTGGCGCCAGAAGAGAGCCGGCTCGACAAACGCTTCATGGCCGAGGTCTGGTTGTGATTGGGGGTGGTGTGATGATCGAGGGCAGCAACGGTGGAAGGACCCATCTCGCATGCGGGGCCAAACTGATGCTGGAGAAATTGTGGTTGCCTCTCCTCCCACACAGCCTCCCCTGATAATTTCATCGGCTTATTGTAGGTACGACATTGCAGTATTGAAAGTATATCGGCATAGAGAAGAGGGACTGCAGGATGGCAAAGTCCACAGCCCCTTGCTGCTGCCGATGCAGGGCGATTGTGCCGAGCACCCATCTCGCATGCTGATTGTACAGGGGGAAATGGAATACTTGCCCATAACCCATATGTCAGCGGAGTCTGTGATGGCATGCATCCAGATAATCTATATGCAACAATCAGATCACCTCCGAGTGAACACCACCGGTCGCTCTCCGGTCTCCACAATCGGCATGCACACTGGTCTCGGAGTGTCAGCGGTGAATGGTGCTCTTGGACACTGGCGAATGGTCATGGCCAGCGCGCGATGGCTATTGGGTAACAAAATATATGATCAATGGACAATAACTAGGGTGTCCCGTTTTTTATTGAATAGACTGTAACAACTGACAGTGGCACATGGGGTCATGTAATGTGTAGACAGCAGAAATGATCGATGGGGGGATTGTTTTCTGAAGAAAGAGGGGCGGTACGAAAGAGTGGATCAAAAATCTAGCTTCCCAGGTGACGGATGTAGATCCGACTGGTGTCGCATTAGTGGGATGTGAGGGGGGGGGCAGAGAAAAGAATGGCAGATGCTTTCAAAGTTTGCCAGGACAACATGTAAAGCTGTTGTTGTGGCGGGGGGGGGAAGGATGTCTGAGATGGAGAAACGTGCGCGAGATGCTCCGACCGGTATGTCGGTGTTGTCGAGATTCTGAATGTTGCGATGGGAGCCAGAGGATTCAAGCCCAGCCGGTTGACAGAATCGGTGACAAGCATCCAGATAGAGGGTCGGGTGTCTAGAGGAGGGCGGCATCATGTGGAGGAATAAATATAAAATACATATGGATGGTACCGCAGTGGCGGAAAGGGGGGGGGTCGGTGCGTTCCTGGTTGAGGCTCGTTCAAGCATCCACAAAAGAACATGGCGAGCAAGTGCAGCTGGGCTTTGGAAGGCAGGGGCCATCCTGGTCAGACCGAGACCAAGGCAGCGGACGTCGTGCTGTGGCTTTGCATCATGTCGATGGTGTCGCGGCTCGGAACCTTGGGCAGGGCCATGGTTCGGAACAACTCTGCGTTGTCGGGAGTCGGCGAGCGCAGATCGATATCCATGGCAAGGGCGTTGCCGTAGAGCTTGTTGTTGACCCAGGACAAGCTGTCAAACGCATCGTCTCCGGGCAGGGGCGGGGCCACCGACTGGGCTGTGTTGCGCCGGTCCAGCGACGGCTGGCGGCCGCTGACAAAGGTGGTATCGGAAAGCACGGAGAGACCCTTGAGTTGATCAGCGAGGAGCATGCTGTCGGGACGAGCGCTGCTGGCGATCGAATCACGCTTGCGAAAGCCCGATGCCGGGCTCATGGGAGGCGCGCTGGCCGAAAACGAAGGCTCAGGCGACTTGAGGGATGGCTTGGGGCTCTTGAGGCGGAGCGAGATCAGGTTCGAGGTGTTGATGGGTGGAGGCAGCAGACTGTGTCTGGACTTGAACTTGGATTTGACTTTGGACAGCGAGCCCATTCGCAGCAGCGACGAGTCGGACGAGGCGGCCGGGAAGGAAAACGGCCGTCTGAGCGACTCGGGGTCGCTGGGTGCGAGCGGCGCGACCGAAGGTGCAGCCGAGGACACAATCGAGGGCGAAACCGGAGAGAGGGGCGGCTGCACCTTGGCTCCATGAGGTCGATCGAGAGATTCGGAAACGTGGACAGACAGATTGATGGCGTTGATCCAGGCTGTTGCGTCTGCCTCAGAGGCGCAGCGGAGCAGCCAGGCCGAGTCCTGGTCGTGCGAGTCGCCGCGGGCGGGAGCAGCGCGAGCGACTTCAAAGACGTTGCGCTTGCGATATTTCGACGACAGATTGCATGTCGAGTGCTGGTCAACGACCATGGCGCCGACGACTGGCTCCTCGGCTCTCTTGGCCTTGAAGTAGTAAAGGCGATGGGGCGTCAGCAGGAAAAAGTACTGCTTGAAGGACTTGAAGAAGAGAGCCGAAGAGCGCTTTTCCATCTCGCCATGCAGACATTTTGGAAAGAGGTTCGAGAGCTCGCCGAGGGTGAGCTTGTCGAGCTCTGTGGTGGCGAGCGCGGGAGAGCGGGACGGCGCCATCGCCTTCAGGGACAGGGAGTTGGATCGCTGGAAGGCGAGGGCCGAGTTTCGGTGCGGTTGGCGGGGAGTGGTATTGCTGCGGACCAGGAGCGAGGCCTTGAGGTCGGTGTCGGAAGGATGGGTACTGCCGACCAAGGTGGTGTCATTGGAGGAGGGGCGATCGGGAACGGCGTCATCGGAGTCGGGCCGGTAATAGCCCAGGCTGTATCTGTTGGGGTTGTCGGGGGTTCGGCTGAGGCGGTTGGGATTGGAGATGCCCTGAATGCTGATGAGGCTGCGTCTGTTGCGACTGGTAGTGCCAGGGGCGCTTCCGGAGGCGCTTTCGGTGCCGTGTCTGTTGCCGAGGCTGCGGGTGCTGGGATCGTCGCTGTCGGCATCGAGCACCGAGTCGTCGTATATGCGCTCGCGGGTGGGCGGCCGGGGCGGCTCCTCCGAGGGAAGGTCGACGGTGGTAGTCTCGGGCATGGGCGTCGAGTCGGTGCTGCTGGTGGTCGAGAAGGAAAACTCGGCGCTGTTGGCATGGGCCGGAGCCAGGTAGACCGAGGGCGTCGGATAGCGGGACAGGGTCGAAAACGAGGCCGACACGGAGCGGGAGTGCGACGGATACATGTTGGCCGGAACGACGCCGAGCATCTGCAGCTCCAGGGCGTTGAGGTCGCGCACGTCGCTGGCGAGCTGGGACATGGCCGACTCGAGGGCACAGAGCGATCGGTTGGTGCCGACGTCGTAGGAGTAGAGCACACCATTGCGAACCTTGATGGCGCACGACGAGCGACGCTGGAGGGTGTCGACACTGGAGGAAGGCCGGTGGAAGGAGCCTGAGGTCGAGCTGGCCCGGTCGAGGCCAAAGGACATGCGGAAGGACGCAGGCGAGCCCAGGACCGAATCACGGTAGTAGGACAGCGAGAGGACCGAGGGCGGCGGCGAAAAGAGCTGCGAATGCGCTGGAGATGCTGCCTGGGAATGCGACGGCAGCGGCGGGCTGAGCATGGCTGAAACAAGATGAGGTTGAGACGACTGGAAGGGCGAGCTGGGCACGGCCGCGCCGAGTTGGAGAGAGTGCGACGACTGGGAGGCCTCGGGCGAGCCGGAGCCCGAAGGACGATAGGCCACATGGACCATGTGAGCAGGTTGCTGTGGAGGCGGAAAGCCGAGCCGGGAGCAGAGGGAGTGGACTTGCGGCAAGACCTTGAGATGGGGGAAGCTGGATGGACACCGAGACTGGATGGACGCCGAGAGCGACAGAAGCGACAAAGAAAAGGCGATCGTAGATGCAACGAGCAAAGACAGCACCAGATGCAACGAGCAAAGGCAGAGGGCCTCGGGCGCCCAGACAGATGTCCAAGATCAGGCGAGAGGATGCGGGGCCGAGGGGCAGAAGGCGGTGGGCCAAGGTTGCAGATCGGCGATGGGGCGGGCTGGCGATTCGGAGGACGGCGAGGAGAAAGGGCGGTGCATGAAGGCAAACCGGTGCGATCTGGGTGGGGACGGTGCCGCTGCAGCCTCCCCGAAGGCGATCAGCAGATGGACCGCGAAGGACAAGGGCAGCAGACAGTGGGGACAGCGGTGGTGGAGGAGGTGGTGGTGGGGGACGAGGCGGGTTGTTCGTGCAGTCGATAGGCCGGGTGGGCAGTTGCATCGATGGTCGACGGTTGATAGCGGAGAGTTGATGGTCGGTGGCCGATAGCCGAGATTGTTAAGTGGGTCGTTAATACCAAGTGGTGGATATCCGTGGCGGCGTGGGAACGGCCAACAAGGGCCAAGGACATTCGGCAAGGAGGACATTCGGCAAGGGCAGTCGGCAGCGGCACTCGGCAAGGACAGCACGCGGCTGGCACCGGGTGCATCTGGGTCGATGGACACGAATGTGCATCTGGGTCGATGGGCATGAATGTGCGTCGAGTAACGACTGCCATCCACGGATTGACGACAGTGATCAACCAAGTAACGACTGTGATCAACCGAGTAACGACTGCTATCCACCAAGTAACGACTGCTATCCACGGATTAACGACATGCAACTCGCTCGACAAAACGAGTACTGTCGCAGCCAGCAAGGCCAGCCCAAGTCGTCGCTCGGCCTTGGTCGCAGGATGGCAAAGTCCACCGCCCCTTGCTGCTGCCGATGCAGGGCGATTGTGCCGAGCACCCATCTCGCATGCTGATTGTACAGGGGGAGATGCGACACTTGCCCACAACCCATATGTCAGTGGAGTCTGTGATGGCATGCATCCAGATAATCTATATGCAACAATCAGATCACCTCCGATTGAACACCACCGGTCGCTCTCCGGTCTCCACAAATCGACACGCACACTGGTCTCGGAGTGTCAGCGGTGAATGGTGCTCTTGGACACACCGGCGAATGGTGCTCTTGGACACACCGGCGAATGACCATGGCCAGCGCGCGATGGTTATTGAGTAGCAAAATATATCATCAATGGTCGATAACCAGGGTGTCCCGTCGTAGGATGTGGATGCACTCGACCGACACAGCGGCCCTGCCTTGCCGCTGTCTGGGCTGTCCATGAAGACGCCCCACAGACACCGCACCAATCTCTCCCCCGGTCTCGCCAACCCATATCGTCCTCGCCGCCCTCATCCCATGTCGTCTCCTGTCGTGCCGACACCTTCGATCCCCAAGGGCGGCCTCTTCACCGTCCAGGCCGAAGCACGCATCGCCTGTCCGGATCAGACCGTCTTTGCCATCCTGCTCGACACTGCCAACTACGTCTGCTGGAACTCGTTTGTTCCAGAGGTCACTATTGTCCAGTCGCCTGTCTCGGACGGCTCCGGCTTGGTCTTGGCCGTTGGCGCACGGCTGGATTTCCTCGTCAACATGGAGCCGTCTATCCCGTCGAGCTTCTGGAACAAGATGCGCATCGCTGGGCTCGAGGTGACCTGCCTGGACTCGCACCGGGTCTGTTGGCGAAGCCATTTCGGCTCGTCGCTGCTCCAGACTGCCGAGCGGGTCCAGCTCGTCGAGGACGACGGCGCCGGCGGATGTCGATACCTCACCTGGGAGACCTATCAAGGCCCGCTTGCCTACCTCGTTCAATACGTGCATGGGGATCGGCTCCAGGCCCGCTTCCAGGACTGTGCAAACGATCTGAAGCGATACGCCGAGTCCGGGTCGCAGCAGTGAATGTCGATGCAATAGGCGATGCAATAATCGATGCCGTAATCGTCAATGCGATGATCAATGCCGTGATCGTCAATGCGTTGATCGATCGCCCTGGGCACTGCAGGCTGCGGTCCACCGCCAGCGTTCGGACTATGTCGATCGCCGCATTTCTGTTTCCATCGACCCTGCTGTCCAGAGCCGTCCTCGCTCTCCCCGCCGCCAAGGCCCTTGGTGCTGCCTCCACGTCCCCTTGCCCGCGATTGGCCTCGTCCGCGCAGATGAGTCGAAGCGGGTCAGCAGCACAACTCTCCCTCCATCAGCACTTCCACCAGCATCCACATCCGCACCTCCATCGGCATCTCTCTCCGTACCCTCGCCAGACACCTGTCTGCCTGCAGTCGACCCTCATTGCCCACTTGCTGAATACAACCGTCTGTCCCTGGCTTGGCTCCGCTTCGTCAGACCCTTGATTCCTGCGCTCCTGCTCGTTGTCTTTCTTCCTCATCGTATCTGCGCTCGCCCAGACCACAAACAACCCGCTGTTGCCTCCGCATGTCCACTGGCCCGTTATGAAACCCAGCGGCCTCATCATCCTGCTGAGCATGGGCTCCCGAATCCCACTCGCAGCCAGCACAACCACTTGTCCAGCTCCGAGTCTATCCCATCCGCCACTTGCATCCAGCCCTTCCGCCCCGTCGATGCCTTTGCCGTCAAAATGGAAAGGCCCAACTCTCCTCGCAGCGTTACCAGCGGTTGAGCATCGGCTCCCATCAGCCTCAATACAGGCCGCCGATCCTCTCGAACTGTTCGAATCGTGTCCCCTGGCCTTCAACAGCAGCCAACTGTGGCCACAGCCCATCTCGCTGGCTTCCCATCGTCATCTCCAACAGTCACCTTCGGGATTCCCTGCACAATATCCGTCTCCATCGCATCGCCCCCTCCAGGCGCCTTGGCCTCGCCTCCCTCAAAGCGACAGCGCCCGTGCGCTTCGAGACAGCGACAACACCCAATCGATCCACGACAGCCGCGACTGCTACGGCTCCAACAACTGCAACAGCTGCGACGACTGCGACGACTGCGACGACTCTGGGGACTGCACCCTCAACAGCCATGAAAATCGATGCAGCCATCGCCACGATATGCCTGCAGCTGCAGTCAGCACGGCCAGCACGGCCAGCATTCCTGTCCCGCCCAACTCAACCGACCCCTCATACGGAGCACCCGCTCGAACACCTCCCTCCATCACAGGCCTTCATCTGCACCGCTTCATCACGGACCTGCGTCGATGGCGCCTGTGGATCTCGCAGTCGCAGTCCGAGCAATTCTACGACCTCATGCTGCTCGTGCTGCTCGTCTTTTGGTGCGGCGGCACTCTCATCCGCGGCTGGAACAGCGAATATTCGCACTCGTTTGGGTGGGGCCTCAAGACGGACGGGCTGGAGACGAGCACAGAGGCAGCACCCAGCGACCCGGTCGACACTGAGGCTCCGAGCGAACTGGCGCTTCAGAGCGCCATGCGAGTTCTCGAGGCACGGTACATCTGCCAAGGACGATATCGGCGGAATCTCTGGAGGGTATAGTAGACCCACCTATTGCAAACGGATGCAATTACTATCTCCCTCTCTCCCTTTCTCCCTCTCTCTCTCCCTCTCTCAGCCTGGACCGAGCGGAGGGCTCTCGCTGAAAAGTCCCTCCCAAGAGGCAGATCCACGCGCACACCGATGAGCGCAAGTACCAACCCATTAATCGATGAACCTCGACGACCCCATACCCAAAGCCCTCTCGCGATCTGGCCCCCCCCCTCGACTAGCGGCTCCAATATCCTTTCCGGGATAGACTTTTATATGGTCTGCCAAGCACCTCATTCCTGCCGCTCCAGCCGACGTATCATAGCCCGTTCCCGATGATGCCCAGATACGCATGGATACCACAGGCCCGTTCCGCTTTTCCCTGATGCACACTTATCTCCATCTGGACACTTGCTTATTTCTTGGATTTCTACTACCACAACGGTTCTGTATTTGTGGTCCTGGCTTTTCTTTATCAAACAGCATCCTCTCCCTCGTCGCCGCCACCTCCGTTGAATTGCCCTATGTTTTGCTGTTGTCCCTGCTTTGTTGCTCATCCCTGCTCTTGTGTCGTCTCTTCACCATCTCCTGCTCCCGTTTGGTTGTCCCTGCGCCTCATACGGCTCTTCCAAAGAGCGAAACAACAACAACAACAAAAATTCAATAAAACTCCATCTTTTTCTTGGATTTTCCGAGTTTCTCTTCGAGAGATGCCCATCACCGAAGGGCATTGGCGTTGACCCCGCCAGCACTCGATCCCCCATCGAGGACATGGCATCCCAGGCGCACGGCCAATGGCTACGAGCGAGGATCGGTTTGCTGTCCTGGAATCCAATGGAGACCATTCGATTATGAACGCAGAGAGCGGGATGAACGGAAGAAGCAAGAAAAAGACAGCAACGGAGGAAGCTCTTCTTTCCGGATTCGGGGATATGCTACAGATCAAGATCGAGGACATCAACATCGGCCGCTTGGACCTCCGACGAGTCGCCTTGGGTGACCTGCTCGCGAGTGCGGATATGGTCGAGAATGTCGGTCTCCATGGCATCGACTTCGTGCTGGATTTCTTCCCGCTCTGTTGGTTGGGTCGATTGGGACGGCAGTTAGTTAGGTGCAGGAGGGGGGGAGGAGGAGAGCAGAACGAAACGGAATGGACGAGCTACGAGAGGCTATCCATCTCGATTCTGTCCTCCTCATGATGGTCCTTGTGGACATGCGGGCCTGTCGACTCCCAAGACGTCCTGACTCACGATGTTGGGTCACGGCCATGGTCTCGGCAAGATAAGCCTCCAGGTTCTTTGGGAAGAGCAGGCTCGCTCGTATCAGAGTCTCTTGCGGGACAGGCGCACTAAACGGAATGGTTGGATCTGGATTCTGCGGGTTGAACTTGTGCGGGGCTGCAGTGTACGGCGCTACCCGCCGAGCATAGG